AAATATTAGCTTGGATTTGTAAACTGAAATTTTTATAAAAAAAACATAAAAAAAGTCCCACTGCCCGCTTTTTATTAAAACCCTCCTGTTTATTAGATCTGGAATAAAAATCCCGCCCTCTTTTATTCCCACCCTCCCATGTATTAAGGACTCGAGAGTAGTCCACTTGGTTATAAATAAAACATTCTCTTCATTAGTCATCAGTAACATTCTTATTTTTATTTTTATTATATTATTCTTATTAATGCAGAAACACAATAATAATAATAAAAACTGAAAATTAAATGGAAAAAAAACATATATATATATATACATATATATATATATATATATATATATATATATATATATATATATATATATATATATTTATATATATATATATATATATATATGTATATATATATATATATATATATATATATATATATATATATATATATATATATATATATATATATATATTAGCCAATCCCATAACTTTTTTTTGACAACCAATTCTTATGTGGAGTGGCTAATGAGTGGCATAGAGGTCAATTTTATATTAAAATTTTTTTATTTTTTCTTGATAGAAGTATTTGCGCCAGCTTTTTATGATTTTTGACTAAATTTAGGGCAATTTCCAAGCATTAGCGCAAATAGATTCTGACGTCAAATCCAGATAATTTGTTCAACAGTGATTTCTTTATGTATTCCTGTACCAAAAAAAACACTGTGCTTATTAATTTAAGAAATATGTTGTGCCTATCTTTCACTGACTATGATAGATAAATTATCACTTTGGCTACTGTAAAGTGATTTTTGTTGATCTTAAAAGGATCCTAAAGTGCCGAGACAAGTTGTGTTTATTTTAAAGAGAATGATAAAAAAAAATGTTTCGGCAGTATTTTTTTTAGTAAATCAAAACAATAAATGTATACCAAAAAAAACAAACTTTATTGTTTTACTCGAAGCTCGCCATTTCCACAGTAGCTATTCTCTGAAATTCTTAAAAATATACACCACAATCTACAGACTTTATAATTTATTCAAGTGTATTTAATTCCAAAGAGTTTTAGTAAACAACGTCATTTTGTTAAGAAAACTGAAAATTCTTTTTTTTTTAATCAAATTATAGAATTTTTTTTAATTATTATTATAGATGACTACTTAATATATTTTTAGTTACTTATTTTATATTAAAAAAATTTTTATCATAAATTACTGTAAAATTTCTTTAGTTATTTTCTTTTCTTTCTTTTGCAAAGCTCGCATTAAAAATATAAAACATTTCAGATATTTTAAGCTCATTTATTGCTAAAAATTATTTTTTGTGTTATATTTATTGTTATTAAATGATTATCATTCTTATTAAGATTCTGTTAAAAAAAAAAAAATTGTATTATTTAACACTACTGCAGGCTGCTGACAGCAGCTGTTGATTTTAATCAAATTTTTACGGCAAACTACTGGTAGAGTACGCTTCACAATTTATCTTGTTTTGTACATAAATTTTTACTCTAGACACATTGTTTGTTCTTTAGGTTTATTATACTTAAAAGTATAATTTAAAAATAACGCAATGTAGATAAAATAAAGGTTTAAAACGACATTACTTAACAACCCCTGGTGAGAAAAATTTGGCACAATCTTTGAGAAGTTAAAACTTTTTTAGTTATCCAGTCTCACTTTTTTAGTTGTTTTGTTTATAAAGTTATCTTTTAGTTTTGTTTATAAAGTTATCTTTTAGTTTTGTTTACTTAGATTAATTAATAAAAAAGTTATCAAAAAATGAAGCCAACTACATTAATTGAACAAATGTACAACTATTGTAATTTGCATCCAAACGCTAAAAGGAAGAGCATCGTAGAGTATTTTGTTGCCCCTAATCACCCCGAAAGAACCATCAAACGTTATATGGCAAAGTGGAAAACAATAAGCAAAAGTCTCATAAGCCTGGATCAGACAGAAAACCAAAAATTATGACTGATAGGAAGATCAATCACCTGAAAGGTCTTTTGAACAACCAGTCTGGAACTTCAACAAGAAAAATAGCAAATAAATTCAAGTGCGATCATTCCTAAATTGTAAAAACATTAAAAAACAAAACAAACGTTTGTTATTTTAAGAAAAAACAAATTACTGATCGCACTAATAAACAGTTAAAATAGTTGCAACTGAAGTGTGGAAGTGAGAAGTGTCATGGTTTCTGAATTTGTCCTAAATTCAGAAACCGCAACTTTGTCATTGACGATGAGTCTCATTTTACAATTAAACATACAAATAAAAATTCTAATGCTGGATTTTACTCAGATGAAGCAAAAAATGCACCAAAAAATGTAAAATATAAGCGCAAAAGTAAATTTGAAAAAAAATATTCTTGTGTGGATTACCATTTCCCCTTGTGGAATCTGCAAGACTGGCAATTAACCAAACAGTGTACAAAAATGATAGCATCATCATACGATTGGATCCTTTTATCAACAAACATCACAGTGATGGTAATTATGTATTCTGGCCTGACATGGCCTCTTCACATTATTCTAGAAGTGTGACCAATTACCTCTATGAGAAAAATATTTGTTTTGTAACAAAAGTTGATAATCCGGCATGTGTCTCAAAATTACAACCAATAGAAGATTTCTGGTCAATCCTTAAATGCTACGCGTATGAAAACAATTTGGAAGCTCAAAATGAAGATCAGCTGCAAAAAAGAACCCATTCTTGTTAAAGAAATGTTGATAAAAATCTTGTACTAGGCATGTGCAAACATGTATACAAAAAAGTTGATGCAGTACATCATAATGGCAATAAAGCATTATTTTAGTCCCGAAAGTAAAAAACTAATATATTGCCTAATATATTGCATTTTGTACTAATTTTTTTTCATTAAACATTTTGTTGTATTATTACTGCTTGTGTTTATTTTGTGCCAAATTTTTGTCACCAGGGGTCACTTATTACATTTATTTTTGAAAAGATAAAATCTAAGTACTATTTCTATTGATTTCATTTTTATTTTATTTCTACTGATTTTAAGAAAAGTCTAACATTAGAAAAAAAAAATTGGTTTAGAGTTATTTTCTTTGTATTTTACATCTGATTTTAAATCATTGTTTTAAAACAATTTATAACACAAACTATTTTAAAATAATAAGACTAAAATATAAAAACTTATGAAATTAAGTTTTACTTTAAGAATTGCAGAGTCAGAAAAGTCGCAGGTCAAAACCACGATTCTCTTGAGAGAGAAATTTAGTCAGCCATTCTATTGATTTCTTGAGTATTTTAGTACTCAGATTAAAAATCAGAAAAGAAACTTGCCCAGGAAACTTAGCTAATCTTGTACGAACCTCTTTTTAATTGCCAGGATTGAAGTGGGTGAACTGTATAAGATCAAAAAAATCTAACAAATTTCAAATTGCTGTGTATTGGGCCTCAATGCTATTGTGTCTAAAAACCACATTTTTTTAATTTCACAACATTTTTAAAATATCACTAGTTAACAAAAATAATAGTAATAAAAATGTGCTCAATCGGTGAAGATAAAAAATCTTCCATTACTTGTAATGACGTTATTATATAGCTAATGATTTGTAAATTTCTATTCACGCTGATTGTTTGAAAATGCCCATAAAAACTAAAAAAATGTAAAAATTTTAAACTTTAAAGTGGCGCGAGTATAAGTAGTCATCTAAAATAAAAAAATTTAGGAACAATTCGGGCATTTTTTTTGGGTATTTTGCCACTTAAGCACAAGGTAAACATCAATATTTTTGGAATTTTTTTTTTGTAATCACATTTTTTTTTATTTGCCCAAAATTTGGTTTCTTGAATATTTGCGTTTTGAAAATTTTATTTTTTTGAACACCCTAATATATATATATATATATATATATATATATATATATATATATATATATATATATATATATATATATATATATATATATATATATATATATATATATATACACATATATATATATATATATATATATCAATTAAAAAATTATTTTTTATATAAATTCTATAATTATCTATTATATATAAATTTATAACAATAAAGAAAAAGAAAGACTTTTACAAACCTAGCTGTAGCTAGGTTTGTAAGTCCCATTTAGTTTTTACATTTACAGGTTTGTAAGAAGTTCCAATAGAAGGCCCAATAGCCGGGACCAGGGCCAGATAAAACATCAACAATTTTCCTACAACATTTCTCTGATTTTTCACCACTTTTACAGCAAGTTAAAAAAAAAGTTAAAAAAAATACAATTTACAATTTTAATTCATATAATAAGGCAACATTCTTAAGCTCTAACTTTTTTTACTTTTTACACTTTTTTTATTAATATTCTTACTTTCTAATTAATAAAACATGATTTTTGTGAATTTTTAAAAAATAGTTCAAAATGAACATTATTAATATAATTTTAATACTTAAATGTATTTTTTTGTTAATTTTCATGAAAAAATTGAATAAAACTTTTTTTTTTTACAAAATATTTATTTCCAACTTATTTTCAGGATTTTTATGGAACATTTACAAATCATTTTTGTTGATTAACTTTATCAGCTGCTTTTCTATATTAACTAATTTTTTTTACTAATAATTGCAATCTGAAAAGTTTAGCAATCATGCATTTGTTGTTTAGGTGAAGAGGCATATACATCTCCAGAAGCAGCTGAAAAAAGATTTCCTACTTAAAAAGTTTAATGTCAATTTTACACTTGTTTAGAAGATTTTCCAACCTTTTTATTTTATGAAAAGAAATAAGTATCTCTATATATAGAGCAACTTATTGTTTCTCAAAACTATATTAATAAAATATCTCAAAAGTATCTCAAAACTATATTAATAAATAACAGTAATAAAAACAACTCATACCCAAGAAATTATATAAAAACCAGATCATATAAAAAAAAACTGTATAATATTATAAGATCGTTTAAATTATAGTTGAATTTGAAAGTGACAATTTTCTTATATTGAATTAACCTTAGTTTAGTTAAAAACTTACTTGGTACAACTATGGTCTTATTTTTTTTAGGCGGACCTAAAAAGAAAATTAATAAAAATTTTTAGTCAAACAAAAAACAATAACATTTTAATAACAATAACAACAAAGAGATTTAAGAATGTTCAGATTATTAAATTCCTGGCTCTCGGTATCCTTTTTATTTATTCAGTTTTATTTAATTATTTTTACATGTTTGTTTTATCAAATAGTTTATTTAGGGTTTAGCGCAGTGGAGTGCACATACATCAACTTACTTAAATAGAGAGAAAATGCAGTGAGTGTACACACATTGACTGACTTAAATAGGGAGAACATGCAGGGACTGTACATACATCAACTGACATAAATAAGGAGGACATAAAGTGCCGTTACATTGAATAAGGGTTTTGGTTTGGGCAGACAATCTATCAAATTATAAAGTTTTAAATTTTTTCCTGTCTTGAATATTAACATTAAAAAAAAACATGTTTTTACTTTATGACAAAAATTAAATTTTTAATTAGAATTATTTAAAAATTTATTTTTTAAATAATTTGATTAGAAAACTAAAAGACCAACAATTTATTGTCAACCTATTTTTTTGCTCAACATTAGGTTGGCACAAAATTTTTAACACCATAACATTAAAAAAATTAGGTTGGCAAAAAATTGCAAACTGCAGACACTTTTAGGTAATCAGTAAGATCCACATGGCTGAATGATGATGTAAAATTGATTTAAAGATGTAAAAATCATGTAAAAATGTAAAGATGATGTAAAGATGACATAAAGATGTAAAGATGATGTAAAAATGATGTAAAAGTAAAAAGATGATGCAAAGATGTATGGATAATGTAAGGATGTAAAAATGATGAAAAGATAATGTGAAGATGTAAAGATGATGTATTATCTATTGAGCAACCTAATGCTTATTTGTGTCCATTTGTTCAGAACTGATGGCAGCAGTTAAACCCTTATAGTGAATTCATGGTGAGAAAGTTCTTGCTCATAGTAAATTCATGGCAAGGAAAGTCTCTCTTAGCATTTCTTTTATAAGTGAATATGGCTAAATCTAACGTATCTAATTTAAAATTGTTAAATTTAAATTTTGTTAACAGTTTTAGAGTATTACTTCAACTTTTTTACAAATATAATATGCATATATAATATCTATAGAACTATTGAATTGTTTTGTTTTGCATATTAAAAATAGGAAACTTTAAAAAAGAAAGATTAAAGCTTCCCAAGTGGTTAAACTACTTAAAATGTTATTTAGTTTAAAAGTATACTTTTAAACTAAATATCATGTTTAAAATAAAGTGTTAAAAATGCATTATATTAAGAAAAGGAAAGTTTAAAATTACACAGAAAATATATTTACTTGATATCACATTAATAAGCGAACTTAAGGGTTTTATAGCAACTTTACCACTTCACATAAAAAGTTTAAAATTACTTGATATCAGAGTAATAAGCAAACTTGAGGGTTTTATAACTACTTTACCACTTTACATAGATTTTTATATAATGATAACTAGATGTAATCAAATATTCTATTTATCTAAATTTTTAATAGATTATCATATTATTTTTAAATCCTTTTTTAGGATACTCTAAGAAATATATTACCAGACATTGAAGAAAATGTCTGGTAATACATTACTTAAATCTTTTTTGTAGATATGTATTGAATATTGAAAATGTATTAAACCATGATAGATATGTCTTGAATATTGATTTGACCATTTTTTAAACTTTTTTCGAAGTTGATGATAATACTCTCTTAAATTTTTTCACAAGTTTTGCACTCCATTTTTTTTGATATTTTATGTTGTGTTATTTTAAGTAATTGTTAATTATGTTTTAAATTGACTAAATTATATAGTTCAGTTTATTATGTAAATGAAAACTTTTACGGAAACATTGATTACTTTTTTAAATGTTCCTTTTACTTTATTTTAATTTGGTAAACTTAAAGTTTGGTTTTGTCTATATTTAAACAAACAATTTATTTATTATTCAGTTGACCTTGAAGACCTTTTGCTTAGTATTTTGAATTTTTTTTTTTACTTTATTATATCTTGATACCATTGATGTTTGTTTTTAAATATTAAAAAAAAAACAATTATTAAATTAAAAAAATAATTGTTAGATTTTTATCATTTGTTTGTTGCATTTAACATCACTCATTGTTTTAATTTAAATATATCTATGTATATATATATATATTTAAACATATACATAAAACAAAACAAACAAACAATAATTTTTATTTACTCGACTAGATTAGTCAAGAAGGAAACATTGTAATAGCAGAGTTAATTGAGAAGAGTTTCGTACCGAAATACTACACATACGCTGAGTAGACGGAGCTAGGTTTCTACAACTCTGCTGCTACAGTCAATAATTATTTCAAACTTTAATGTAAAATGGCTCAATGTAAAATTTATAGTGTGTATACTATACACACACATATATATATATATATATATATATATATATATATATATATATATATATATATATATTTATATAACAGGTGATTCATAGGCCTTTGCAAAACTTTAAATTTTTTTTATCAAATAAAAATAAACTTTAATTATTGTAAATTGAAAATATTATATAATGCTATAAGGGTCGTGGTCATTTATTTTACAAAGTTTATATTTTACCTTCTCTGTATAACATTGTAACAAATAAAATTTAAAAAATATATACACCTGATCATTTGATGATTTGATTTTGCAGACCACTCTCCCTCGTATACTTTCAAACACATATTAGTCCAAAATCTTTCAATTGTATGGGTTTAAAGAACATTTGGAAGATATCATCCTTAGGAACGAATTTGACGTTACTAGCTTTCCTGTCTATAACCTCATTTACATAATAAGCACTAGCTAAGTCTAGCCAAAATATATATTTGTGTTTATTATACATTGATCTAATGAGTGAAATTAATTTGTTACTGGTCTCAAGGATTTATGGATATAGAGCTTAGGATTGATATATTAAGTATAAGTTGCATTTTTTATCAAGATATATACATAAAAAAATGTCTGCAAATACTTATGAATACATATATACATATATTTATATATGACAAACTAAAGTTGCTTTATCTTTAGCAGAAAGTTTAAAATATTAGAAGGAGAAATCCTTTCTTTATACAGGTATTGTTAGGTATTATATAGCTATTATTTTTTACTATTGGCTAAATTGCTTTCAATTGTTTTTAGTTTTCAAATTGTTTACCTGTATTTTTTTGATAACTATTATAGCCAACACAGTTGCAGCAATGCCAGCCGCAAAAGATGCTGCATCACCCTAATCTGTGACTGGTAAATAAATGATTTTTATAGACAATTATTAAATTAAAATATCATTCAGTTATTTCATCAATAACTTTTTATATACAGATTTTATGATGCATTTTTATGCTGAGATGTTATTAAGGTGCCCACATCCTATAGTGCGTAGAGGGTTTGAGTCAATAATGGGGAAAAGATTTCCCCTCAATTTATAAGAGAGTAAGGGGTTACCCTTACCAAAAGTATGATAGGTAAGGGTGGGCAGAGGAAAATGTTTAACTACAACTACAAATAGTAGATTTAGTTAAATGTTTTTTGTAAATATGTATACTTTTATTGATCTTTTAGTTTGTATATAAAAATTTTTATTAAAAAATATAAATTTTGTTCCCTTTTTTTTATAATAATTAGTTGTTTGTGAAGAAATTGTTGACATCATATAGTTTTTGTTTCTATACTAAACACCATCACAATTTCATTCAGCAGCACTCTTGAAATATTAAAATATTTCAAGAGCTCTATAGTTCTTTAGTTAAAATAATATTTAATTGTCAGTTAAGGTTTTGTGAGTATTTCAAATTGCAGGTAATAATTTTCATAATCGTCTATAACTGATTTAAGAGGGATCTACTAAGTACTTACAAAGTGAAAGTGGTTAAAAATTAATTTTTTCAATGTGTATGTATATTATGGATGTATCCAAATATGTGTTCTTTTATCTGTTAAAGAAAATTACTAAAGTAAAATTTATTTGGATTTAGATGGTTTTTTTTGAAGGATTTTCGATAAAAATAAAAATTTTATTTTTTATTATTTAATTTTTATAGTTTTAACTTATCTCAAGATGGTAGAGTTATCTTTCAAGTTTTACTTGTTTTACAAGTTTTACTTGTTTTACAAGTTTTACTTGTTTTACAAGTTTTACTTGTTTTACAAGTTTTACTTGTTTTACAAGTTTTACTTGTTTTACAAGTTTTACTTGTTTTACAAGTTTTACTTGTTTTACAAGTTTTACTTGTTTTACAAGTTTTACTTGTTTTACAAGTTTTACTTGTTTTACAAGTTTTACTTGTTTTACAAGTTTTACTTGTTTTACAAGTTTTACTTGTTTTACAAGTTTTACTTGTTTTACAAGTTTTACTTGTTTTACAAGTTTTACTTGTTTTACAAGTTTTACTTGTTTTACAAGTTTTACTTGTTTTACAAGTTTTACTTGTTTTACAAGTTTTACTTGTTTTACAAGTTTTACTTGTTTTACTTGTTTTACTTGTTTTACAAGTTTTACTTGTTTTACAAGTTTTACTTGTTTTACAAGTTTTACTTGTTTTACAAGTTTTACTTGTTTTACAAGTTTTACTTGTTTTACAAGTTTTACTTGTTTTACAAGTTTTACTTACAAACATGTCTAATTTTAAAAGTTTTTTTTTGTTTCTTTAGTTCTACCTTGGCATATTAATTTACATCAATAAGCAATGGTAGAATGTCTACTTTTCAAATATGGTTTTTATTTGGCAAATTTTAATCATTAACTAATAGTTTAAAAAAAAAAGTTTGTTGCAATCAAGGTGAGAATAATCTGCTGGCCAGATTACAAAATTTGTTTGTTCTTTTAATTATTTTGTTTTTTCTATTTTGTGTAACAGTTACAATAAGTGTCTTTTCTTTCAAATTTTGACTATTTTCTCTAGAAAAACTGTGGCTTTGTGTATTTGCTCTAGAAAAAGCAACAGCAACAGGTAAATTCAT